TAACATGTTGTTTTGAAATATGTGTACATTGTGGGGTGGCTAGACAGTGTGGCTTTCTCTTTCATTTATTTACCTATTTATTTATTTATTTATTGGTGCTGAAGATTGAACCAAGTGCCTTGAGTACATTAAGTACATGTTTTACCATTGAGCTACATCCCCAGCCCCAATATGACTTTGTTTCTTTCTTCTCATTATTATTCTTCGCAGCACTGGGGATTGAATCCAGGGCCTCTCCATCAAATCAGTACCCCAGAGGTCCAAGGAGTGGGTGGTTGAAGCTGGGCTCATTCTCTCCAGTTGAGCAGGTAGGAGGCCAAGGAGTGGCTTCCTTGCATAGGATAGGGCCTGGCACACAGTAGGTGCCCAGTACATTTTGGCTAAGTGATGGTGCGAGGAAACCCAAGATTGTACCAGTTTTCTAATCTCCCTATGGAGCAGAGAGCAGGGCTACTGAGGTCCCCTGTTCAGAGCATCCACTTACCTACCTCAGCCACTCCCAAGTTTGTCTGTGGGCTGCTGCGTTTCCTCGGATCTGGTGTTAGAGGGACGATTCCAACTTGTCCCTCAGGACAACACTGCCCAGGTGTGGGGGCTGGAACTTTGCAATGACTTTTCCAAGGGTGGTGGTGATGCAGGGAGTGGGGCCATAATCCTAAGGGAAACAGCCTTAGAAAATGACAGTGGGGACTAGGGATGTAACTCAGTGGTAGAATGTTACAGGCCCTGAGTTCAATCCCCAGTAACTCCTAAAAGGAAACAGAAGAGAAAATGACAGTAAGATGGGTCACCTTGTTGTAAAGCACAGCCTCTTTGTCTTCTGCTCATGGGTTTCATCCCTGTCTTTGAGAATGAGGTCTTGTTTCCCTCAACTTCAGAAGTAGATATACACTCAGAGCTGAGCTCAGAAAAAGTTAGGCCTAGAGAAACAGAAGGGTTTTGCTTCTTGCATATCTAAAGCTCGATTTCCACAATCCCAGCCCCTGTCTGAAGCCCAGATTGGAAGCTGGCTTCATTCAATCCTTCGTCACTCCATACACACTTCTTGGAGCATATTATGTGCTAAAGTTCAAGCTACAGCAGGAAACAAGACAGTGATGGGGCTTTTCTCTTCATGGAAGACATCAAACAGTCAGACAATGACCTCTTTAAACTTCTTATTTGGAAATGACTTCAAAATTTATTCATTTCAAAAGTTACTTGGAAAAAATTTCAAAACAAAAGTTGCAAGAATAGCATTTTTTTTTTTCTGAACCATTTGAAAACAGATTGTACATATCGTGTCTCTTTACCCCTAAACACTCCAGTTAAGAACAGGGACACACTCTTATATAACCATACAATAATTGTCAAATTCAGAAAACATAATATTGAAACAATACTATTATCTAAATCATGGTCAATATTTCAGTTTCACTAATGTTTGCAAAAATGTTTTTCATAGCTCTCCCCACTCCCATCCAATCCAGGATCACACATCGCATTTAGTTAATAGTTCTCTTTAAAGTCTTCTGTTGAAAATGGTTTCTCATTCTTTTTGTCTTTCCTGATTTTATTTTTATATTTTATTTTTTTTGCACAGTTTTGGGGATTGAAGTCAGGGGGGCTTCATGCATGCTAAGCAAGTGCTCTGCCGCCAAGCTAGACCTTCTGTCCCAGAGTTTTCCTCCTGATTGGAAGTCTAAGGTTTTTCTTTTCTTCTCTCTCTCTCTCT